GTTTACTCAGCAAGCCGCGCTGTTTTTCGAAATCAAACACGGGTGACCAAAATTGCGGTTTCAATGTGTTCGTCCCGGCGTTTGAGGGAAACTTCGCGTGTTTGAGTTAAGCCAATGTTACTACCAGATGAATTGTTGTTATCATCCCTTCTTAGTTTGATAAGATTCCGCAATGTTTGAGTAAACTGAGAAGCGATTTCCTTGAGCTCTGATCGGAAATCCTTAGAAACTATCGAGTATATCAAGGGATCAGCTGCTGAGTTAATTACAACTCCAATTACGCAGACGTTATAGATCAGAAGAAAGTGCTTCTCGAAAGCTAGCTCCTCCCAGAATAATAACATCACACGAAGTGCGTTCAGTGGAAGCATTGATATCGTGAAGACTAGCACGATGGGGGTTAAAATTTTCTTTGCTTTCGAATTCTGCCTCATTCGCTTCGCTTCCATCGTGAGACGGGTGTTACGAGAATCCTCTAGATTCCTCTGCCTTGATCGACGTCTAATACTTGTTTTATGAAACTCATTACTTTGTTGAATCTCTCTTGAAATCTTTACGTAAGTGAAGACGATTATTACAAGAGGTAGCAGATACCAAAATATTGCCAAGGAAATAATGTATATGCTATGTATGGTGTGAGACCAAGCCACTACGCAGAAAATCTCCGTAGACGTCTCTGTATTGTGTTCCATAAAATCCATAACAAAAAGCAATGGTAGCGACACAACGAGAAAAGAAATGAGCCAAATAGCCAATAGTCCCCAGTTCAAAGATTTTGTTGAGATGTAAGTGCTGTTCCTAGCGCCTTTAATAGTAGTGATCTTTCGGTAACGCTCAATGGCTATAGCAGTTATAGACCAAACTGACACTCCGTGGAATACTTCAGCTAAGGGATAAAAATACAGACATATCACCCTTCCAAAGGGCCAGTAAAAAGGCAGTTGTTCTTTCACAACAGCAATAGGAAAGCTGATTGCAAGGATACCGATGTCGGCGAAGGCGAGATTTCTGATGAAAAGTTTCAGCCCGGAACGAAACCTGTGCTGTCTTGAAATGACGAATGACACCACCGTATTTCCAACGAGTCCCATAAAGACTAATGTCACCTCGATGGTTAGGCGCGTTATCATGAGAACAGCGGGCTCTTCAAAATACAGTTGATTCATCGTAGGCGAGCTGTCGATCTCTTCGGTGAAATTGTCAATGCTTGGCTCTTCCATGATTAAGGTGCTAAGCAGTCGCCGAAAATTACGAGCTATTCAACCGATATTTTTGTTATCTAGCCCGTTAATGATGTATTTATAAACACTTTCATGACCTTTCACGGGCTCTGCATTCTCGGTTTGTGTTTGACTGTACCGAAGTCAGCTGCTAAATACCCAGTGATATGTCGTTTTACCTTTATCAAGATTTTTCAATACACCCTGCTCTGAACTCCAGGGGCTTTTCGCAGCAGGGCTGTTTCTTGATGATGTAAAACACCTAAATGCAAATCCTCTTGAAGAAAGTTGAGCTAGCGGTTAAATTTCTTGCACACGTATCAAGTGATTCAATCATCTCGTGAACATTTGCCTGAGTAAATAACAGGAAATTAAATTAAACCAGCGCCCATTAATTAAAAGATCAAAAGGTTCACATTTACAATTGATTCTTATTTTGGCAGCGATTTCTGGCTGAACCAAGGGGCTGAACCAAGAACCTTGGGCTGAACTAAGCATTTCAAAATTCCCAACATTTTCCCTCACCAAAAAAAGGGCAAAGAAACGGTCGGCTTCGAACATTTTGATCCAATAAAGATTTATTTTTTAATACTTCCTAATCGAATATTGCCCTGTCGAAATTTTTACTAACAATTTCTTAATATTATTGCTGAGCATTTGACCAATATAGAGACTCTCCTAAGAAAATTATACAAACTGTATGAAACGCAATTAGGAGAGTCAGGATTGCCGATGTGTCGTGGCGGTGCTATTGCAGTATTTCTTAACCATTATTGTTTCTGTTGTTGTTGTTGTTTTTTTTTTATGTTACGCTCGTGCTTTTGCAATACTGTGCGAATTTATAGTTATGCAAATAACACTACTTGTTGTTTTTGTCATTTGAAGCGGCCGGGACGGATGTGCGCAACTGGTGCACTTAATTAACTAAAGGAATATTTAAGGCTAAATTGAAAGGTTAAAATTCTGAACTCTATTTTGCCACCCTAACTGTTTTTAGGTGCCAAATAATTGGCCCCGTCAAATACTGGACTGATGACACTCCGGGGCAGTACAACAATATACTCAGCCACTTACTGAAACGTGCACAAAATAATAAAAAAAACTTTCTTCGAGTCTTGGTTAGACTGAAGATAGGATGTAGAACTTACCGAGGTAATAAAAATGTGACATCCGGAATATTAATAGACAAGAAGTAGATCAATGCACAATAAGGTGGTCTGGAAAGCTGTGTCAGACGGGGATCATTTTACCTTCAGCACAGGCTAGAAAGTACTGAAAGAAAAAAAACAACAACAAAAACAGACAAACGTAACACTGATCTTGTATCACGTATTAAAGAAGTTTCCCGACCGTCCATCCATTCCTCTATAGTCTATACAAGGTTTGCTCGCGTCATGGCAATTACACATTTTTGTAGCAACTTTGTGGCCCAGTGAAGGCAACCAAATTGTAAAGAAAGACCTGTACAACTTCAGAAAGCTTCTAGGTAGCTTTGATCCATCAACATAAGAGCATTCTTTCATTTGATGAAAATTAAAAGTGTTTCCAGCAGCAACTCTTAGATAGAGATCCCAATGCCAACAATTTCGCTCTTGCGTCCTCCACGTTAATCAGTTCTGAATGAAATAGTACCTCTTTAATTCCTTATCACTAGTCGCGTCCTCAGTGCCTTGTCCGAGTCCGTCTATATCCTGGCCTGGCTCTACCGCGTGCTTTCCCTAAAGGATATATACCGGATATAGAGGACAAAGCAGTGAAGCTGAAAAGCACTTCAACAGCTATAAGGTCCAGAAATCTAACGGGAAACAAGGAAACACACAACTGTAGTAGGTAGGTTTATTTTCGTGCATACTCCTCAGTCTTTTAGGGTTAAGAATAGAACCGTTTTTCCCATACAAATCCTTATATTTCAATTGTTGGTTACGGTGAGTACTACGTACGTGCAGGGAGCCTCATTTTGGACATTATGCCACCTGTGGAAAAGCGTACGGAAAAAGCTCACCCTGCTAAAATATCGAGTTTCCTACCTCCCCTTGATATTTCCGCATAGGTTCAGTCGCATAAGCTATTTTCATGCAAATGAAATAGATAATAAAAACTCTAAGGCCAGCTACAGGTATAACGCACTGTTTTACAAATGATCAACATTTAATTAGGTCGACATTTCAAAAGAATGCGTTACTTTGCCGGGATGATCCAGTTCAGGATCATTGATCTCACTGGTCTGAGTATTAGGCCTTCCTAAGGGAGGAGAGAGAGAAGGGATCCATCGGATCATAACACATCAAGGGAGTCCAGGAAGCCTTGCTCAGAGTGGATTCATCGATTTCTCGATCGATCCCAATACAAGAGTTTAGTATCACAGAACCTCAA